AAAGACGTTCATCTCATCAATACCTTCTACGACACAAGACGTTCTATAACTATTATCCTTCTGTCCTAAATGTCATGATTTAACACAAGGCATGGGATGTGTATCCTTGTATAGTTAAATCAACTGTTACTGAATCTCAAGTAGACTCGCAGGGATCAGATATTTATCAGTCTCTAGATAGCGACATATCTGGGCATGGCCATGCACTTTCCCAAGTCCTACTATTTAGTGGGCCCATTGACATTATACTTCTATACAATAGAAGGGACAGATCCTGTATCTGTTATTCACATCTCTAAATATGCTTAGCGGCATACCCAACGCATAACTGTACGTCTACCACTATTTCAAATAGCATTAGTTATGAATCAAAGCATACGGCCCCACATATCAGAGAATGTAATAACTTCAAGTCTGAGGATAGTTATAGCAAGGTCGATTTGAGAATACTGATATACACATTACTGTAGATCCAAGCAGTATTCTAAAGATGGGTCAATCCAGTCACATATTATCGATATAATATGCTCCTACGTACAGATTAAGATATCACAATACTATAGTCTATGAGACGCGACTATCTCATCTCGTACGTACTAGTCTTGATACGTTATGACGTCCGTATTATCATAAAGTGCGACTAGGGATATTCTAGACATAGCCTTCGTCAAGAAGTAACAGTCTCATAATCAGAACATCGTAGTCCTCATCTGTGTTACTGAAGCGCTATCGTCTATGGACTGAAGCTATGTTATGTTACACGAGATATAAAACATACTTCAAGGCCTTTCATTCATGATAAAGTGTACAGTTACATAGGTATTTGATTGCAGCTAGGGCACCTAAATACAACAATGCCCACTCCATTCATTGCAATGCATGGCCTGGGAGAGCATGCGGAATGAGCACTTGCCTCTTTTGGAGCATGAGGGAGCATATTACACGAGTCTGGAGCGATGGACTAGCGAGAGTCGCACCAACTCGCCGGTGCGGCCTAAAGATGAGGTGGTGGTGGGGGAAGAGCTGGGTTCCTCCACCCCCACTCCACGCACTGCTGGTCGCTCGCCCCCCGAAAGGCTCCTAGGCGATCCGGACGGCCGGTGATCGCTCTGGACGGCCGGTGATCGGAGTCCTGTTGCCCTATACAGCCGTAGAACTACCCTTCAAACTTGCCTTTTCCCCTGGATTCTTCATCCTTTCTGGGCTTCAGCCGCACAAAGCTCTGGATTTTCCTTTATTTTTGCATAAGGAATGTATGGGGGAATTTCCTTCCTTTGGAGGTGTGTAGAAGTTGTTCTCAACTGTATTGGATGTGTAGATGCAAAAGATCATCCTTGAAGTGTAATAAACATTTTCATAAGTGTATTTCGATGTTACCTGCTCACTTGCAAGTCCCATCTTCTTCTCTTTTGCACCTTATTTTGAACGTTTAGGCCTCCTCAAACCTTAGTTAGAGAACACCCTGCTTCTTTTGACTTAGCCATTTTTTGGGCATCTTTGCTCCTACGGCGTCGCCATGTTTCCAAAGCCCTCAGGTCGCTCATGCGACCAGCAAATCTTATGCTTTGGAGTTAGCCGTTTTCTTAGGCTTTCTCGCCACGGTGTCATCCTCTTGTTAGTCGCACTGTCCCATGGTCGCCCTGGCGACCGTGGAGCGAGCACTCTCTGATAACCTTTAGACTTGGTTGCCAAAAGGGTTCGGCACTTCATCCCCTGGTGGGCGTCTTAGTGCGAATCACCATGTAGCTCTATTTGGTGATCTCTTTGGTCACTTCCCCCCCCCCTTTTTTGAACGATGCAATTCAAGAAGAGAAGTGCCGGAATGATGAACTCATTAAATTCAAAAGGGAAACATGGCAGGAGTAAAATCTACTGATAAAATTTGATAACATTGGCAGCATTCCACACCCGCGGGACGTCGCCTCCCGCTGGTGTTTGTAGTCTAAACGTTCCATCGGCCAACATTTCCTTTATGATGTACGGCCCTTCAAAACTCTTGGCAAACTTCCCTCCGTCGGTCGGCCGGCTGACCTCCCTTCTTCTTAGGACCCAGTCGCCTATTCCGAACTGCCTCGGTCGCATCCTTTGGTCATGCTACGACTTAACTTGCCGATGGTAATTCTCTGCTCGTATGTATGCCCTTTCTCTTCGCTCATCTATGAGATGCATCTCCGCCCTTAGGTTCTCTTCATTTTCCTGGGCGTCAAATGTCTCCACCCCATAACTCAGCAATGAGGTCTCCGCCGGGGCCCTTGCCTCAAACCCATATGTGAGCGCGAACGGAGTTTCACCCGTAGCTTTCCTTGGAGTAATTCTGTAGGTCCACAATATGTATGGCAACTCCTCCACCCAGGCGCTTTTACACTCCATTATCTTCTTTTTCAGGCCATCCACAATGGTACGGTTAGTGTTCTCGACCCGCCCATTGGTCTGGGGGGTACCCAAACGCAGCGTAACTGTGCTTTATGCCCCAACTGTGTAGAAACTCATTGCACCCCTTAGCCTCGAACTGGGTTCCGTTATCAGTGATGATCTGCTGGGCACCCCAAAGCGGCACAAAATTTGCTTGGACACAAATTTCCTCATTTGCTCTTCAGTGATGGTCGGTACTGGGGCAGCCTCGACCCACTTGGTTAAGTAGTCGATCGCGACCACCAGGTACACATTGTTCCGTGCTCCTCTGGGCAGGATGCCGACTAGGTCAATACCCCACCGAGCGAAGGGAATTACAGTGCTGATCGGGGTGTAATTCGTCGCTGGTCGACCTGGTACCTTCTGAAACTCCTCGCAGACCTTGCACTTACGTACGTACTCTGCGCAATCCCTGATGATCGTAGGCCAGAAATACCCCTGCAAGGTTATCTTCCTGGACATCGTGAAGGCTCCTTGGTGAGCTGAGCATATCCCTTCGTAGATCTCCTCCATCAGCTTCTGCGCTTCGTCCACCCTTAAGCACCTCAACAATGTACCATTGTACGATCGCTTGTACAACCGACCGCACTCCAGCGTGTAGCTAGGTGCACGTCGTTTGACTACTTTAGCAGCAACCGGGTCGGTAGGTAGCGACCCATCAAGGATGTACATGGTTATCTCATCGATCTAGTCTGGATCTTTGAGTGTAACGACAAAAACCTGTCCGGGACTGATGCTTGGCTCGAGCAATTCTTCTTCCTGGGTCATCGCTCTGATATGATCTGGGGAGTCCGGACCAAGTTTTGACAGGATGTCCGCCTTGGCATTTTCTTCTCGAGGGACCTGCTCCATCCGGTATGCCCCGAACGCCTTAAGTAATTCGAGAGTAGTGTCTCTGTACCTCTTCATTCGCTCATCCTTGGCTTCAAACTCTCCCGTGACATGGCTTACTATCAGCTTGGAATCACACCAGACCTGGATCCGTTCAGCCTTTAACGACGCTGCCAGCCTCAAACCGCAGAGCAGTGCCTCATATTCAGCCTCGTTGTTTGAGACCTTGAACCGCAATCTTACGGAGTAGTATGCCTTGAATCCTTCCGGTTATATTGCCACGAGGCCTCCCCCCGAAGCATTAGTCGCGGACGAGCCATCGGTGTATATAATCCACCAGTTTCCTTCGGGTTCTTCTCCGTTGGATTCCACTTCCCTTGCAGTGCATTCTACCATAAAATCTACCAAGGCCTGCCCCTTGATCGCTGGTCGTGGCTTGAATTCTATCTGGAAAGATCCCAGGAACACTCCCCATTTGCTAACTCGTGACGGGGCATTCGGACTTCTAAGGAGGGTTCTGATTGGAATCTGGGACAGCACGTGGACCGGGTGGGTCTGGAAGTAGGGAGTGAGTTTCTTCATCGTACAGACCACTGCAAAGATGGTCTTTTCCATGTTCGTATATCTAAGCTCTGCCCCCCGCAACACCCGGGCTACATAGTACACCGGTTGTTGTGTGCCCTCCTCTTCCCTCACAAGGACCGAGCTCACAGCTCGAGGAGAGATTCCCAAGTACAGGAATAGAGTCTCTCCGGGCTCTGGCTTCAAAAGCACTAGTGGGGAGACGAGGTACGCCTTCAATCCTTCGAAGGACCGTTGACATTCTTCGGTCCAAACAAACCCTTTGTTTTTCTTGATGGTCTGAAAGAAGGGTGCCGCTTGATCAGCTATCTTCGATAAGAAGCGACTGAGAGCAGCAATCCTTCCCGTAAGCTGCTGGACCTCCTTCACGTTCCGTGGCGGCTCCATCTCTAAAATTGCCTTCACCTTCTCCGGGTTGGGCTCAATCCCCCTTTGACTGACCATATGCCCTAGGAACTTGCCCCCCTAAACCCCAAATGTACACTTCTTGGGGTTAAGGCGGAGCTGGAACTTCTTCATGATCTTAAAAACCTTTTCCAGATCTTGGGCATGGAACCCCATCTGCTTTGATTTGACGATCATATCGTCCACATACCCTTCCATACATCCCCCAACACCGGCGCGAACAGTTTGTTGACCATCCGTGCATAGGTCGCACCGGCATTTTTCAAGCCAAAGGGCTTTACCTTGTAACAATACACCCCATTGGGGGTGATGAAAGCGGTCTTCTCTTCATCCGCTGCAGCCATCTTGATCTGATGGTATCCACTGAATGCATCCATAAAGCTCATCAGTTCACACCCTGCCGTCTCATCCACCAACTGGTCAATGTTGGGGAGAGGGAATGGATCCATTGGGCAAGCTTTGTTTAAGTCGGTGTAATCAACGCACATCCGCCAGGTATTCCCTTTGGGTGCGAGGACTACGTTCGCCAACCATTCCGGGTAGCGGACCTTCCGGATGTGTCCAATGGACTGCAGGGTTGTCACCTGCTTGGTGACAAACTCTCTCCTTTCTGAGGAAAGAAAACGCTTCTTCTGCTTAATTGGCTTGTGGGTCGGGTCCACTGCCAACCTATGGCAGATGATCTTCGGGTCGACCCCGGGCATGTCCTCTGGGCCCCAAGCGAATAGCACCTTGAACGCTTGAAGGACCTCCAACAGTTGCTCCTTTAATCTATGTGGTAAGGTTTTACCTACCTTTACCTTCTGCTCTGGCTTGGCCGGATCCAAGATGACTTCTTCAACTTCCTCCGCTGGTTTGGCTCGAGGTCGCCCCTCTTCCTTCTGGATTGCAGCACAGGTCGTGCTCACATTCTCAGCGACCCGTGCTTGGCTCTTGGTTTCCCCGACATAGCACGATCGAGACAAGCTTTGATTCCCCTTAGCCACCCCCACCCCCGTGGGGGTGCTGAACTTCAGGCATAGATGGACGGGGGAGATTACGCACTCCAGGTCCTCCAACCCTGGTCGCCCCAGAATCAAATGGTGTGTGCAATCGAGCTGCACTACCATGAATTCCATGTCGAGCCAGAGTCGGTGGGTGCCGTCTCCTACCCCAGCCTTCACCGTGACGGTCCCTTCTGCTTCAATAGTGTCTGCCGTAAACCCTGACAGCGGTGTACGGATCGGCTTCAGGTCGCTCCGGGACAACCCAAGCTCTCTAAAAGTGTTGCTGTACATAATGTTGACCGAATTGCCAGTATCGACCAATGTACGATGGACGACCACATTATTGATTTCCACCCTTATCACCAGCGCGTCCCTATGGGGGCTAAGAACCGGTGGATAGTCTTCATCCGTGAAGACTAGTGGCTCCTTCCTCTTCCGCTTGAGTAGCGGTGGTCTTTGCACCTCGGCCAGATGCACCATATTCTTCCATTTCCTCCGTGAGGACGCTGAGTCCCCACCGGTATTGCCTCCCATAATGAACCGACACCCTAGGTGTTGGCGGCCCTGCCGCTCTTCCTCATCCAGGTCGTCACTATCTCTCCCCAGATGACGTCGTTCGTCCTCCTGCCCTTCCCCTGCTGTGACCGCTGCGGTGGGGGCTGCTGGTCTCCTCGAGGTCCGATTACCTGACGATGGTCGCTCCGGCCGAGGAGGCGGCCCTCTGGCGATCAATTGTTCCATTTCCTTCTTTAACGTAACACACTCCGACGTGTTTTGGGTGCTGTTACGGTGGTACTCACAATATTTAGGTGCGTCTTGCACGCCATAGCTTTCCCTACTGCGAGGAGGGGCAGGTAAGGACTGTACCGCATGGACAGGATGTCTGCTCGCCTAATATCCGGTAGGGTTAGGCCCCCTACCGTAGTCTTTCCTCTTCTTTCCTTCTGCCACCGGCGGTCCACTTTTCTTTTCCTTCCGGACAGGTGGCTCATCTTCTTCTTCTTCCAACGCCAGGTACTTTGCTCTGGCCAACATCTCCTGATAGGTCGAGAGCGGATTCCGTCGCAGCTCCTTGCGCACATCCCCTTGGGGAAGTGCCGCTTGGAGCATAGCGATCAGGGCATGGTCGTCCGCCCCTTGGACGTCCCTAGCCTCCTTTTCCCACCTATTGATGAATTCTAGGAGTTGCTCCCCCTTCCGGATTTTCACATTAAGCAAATGCGAGAAGGGGAGTTTTTGCCTCCGGCTGGACGCGAAGTGCTCCAAGAACTTGTGGGCCAGATCGCTCCACTTGTCTATCGATCCCTTGGGCAGCTTATGGAACCACTCACAAGCTTGCCCTTCCAGTGTTGCCAAGAAGCACCGACACTTAATCTCTTCAGGGTAGGCATACATGACCACGTTCGCCCCAAAGCGAGTAAGGTGATCCTGAGTATCGGTCGTCCCATTGTGCGCTTTGACCTGTGGGGTTTTAATGTTGTCCGGGAGAGGGCAGAACATTATCCTCCCGGAGAAGGGCGTTACCTCACTAAAGACTGCCTGGCGATAGGGGTTCTGGGCGTCCAGCCGCTTCTCCAATCGCTCATACATCCTCCACAACTCAACTGCTTCCTTGTCCTTGACCGCCTTTCGTCGCTCCTCCGAGCCAATCTTGGAGGTCGCAGTGGATTCTCCCCTCCTCTCCTTGAGCGTCTCCCTCAGGTCGCCCTTGCGGGCCGACCGCGTGACTTGCACCCGATCGAATGCGGAGGTTCGGGGCTTCTTTGCCTTGGGGTCTCCCAAGCGATCAAAGGCTGACGCCCACTCAAAAGAGGACGACTCGTCTTCCTTGTCCAATCTGGACAGCGCATCTTCCATCCTGGCTTTCCCAATTAGGCTTGGTCGCCTTCTTCTTCTGGGATCGCCTCACCTTTTTCTTCTTTCCCTGTGAGCGCGCAGGTCCAGCCTTCTCGCCTACGGGTACCCCGGTCGCGTCTTCCACCACAATCTCGCGACTAGGCGTCAGTGTCGCCAACACCTCCTTGAACTGCTCAACCGTGATCCCAACCCTCTGAATGAGGGCCTCCGCCTCTGTCGTATTGATAGGAGGGTGCCGTCCTCCGATAGCGCTATTTTTGCCCTGGTGGGGGGCTCCGGTTCCAGCATTGGCATTGCTGCGTGTCTGCACCATCGTCTTCATGGAAGGTTTTCTCTGAGTATGATTCTCGAGCTCTCAACGAGAGCACCAATTTGATGGACAATAAACCCACCAAATGATCCGATTCAGAAGAACGGATCGTAAGAAATGAATTAAGGATAAGAACTAGAGAATTATGTGTATTTTATTAGCTTGATTTAGCTTGAGTTTTCCCTCTCGGGGTCCCTTCTATTTATACATGGATTCTAGACAATTAAGGTAATACATAATCAACGGGTGTCCGTTCCGTCATTGGCGCAATCCACTTTTTCCGGCTTCGTCTTCGCCATTCGGCTCCGTCTACTCCTCTGGGTTGGCTCCGCCAGCTGTTTTTGGGCTGGAGTTGATCGGGCTTCGTCTCGTGGGCCGACCCAGGCCTAAGTATTTCCTGTGCGCTTGACCCAAAGTCTATTAAATGGTTCAATTGGGCCACCCGCTGGATATCGGCCCATCATTATGTTATCTAGATTGTTTTGAATTTGTGCAGGTATGGCAGGCGAACAGAAGAAGAAAAAGGTTAGAGGTGCAGGGAAGTGCGAGAAGTTGTATAAGAGGAGGAGGGAGGGTCACCCGCCTATAGAGCTTGAGTGGGAGGGTGGGGAGCCTGTACGTGGACCTTATGTTTCGGAGTTTACTGAGCTTGTAGGGTTTGAGGCTCGATCGAGAGTGCCGATTACTTATAATAATTAGCATGATGTCCCGAAAGACCTGAAGGCCACGGTACTAGACGGGGTTTGGGTACATACCATTTTATGCATCCTTTTCTCCTTCCTTTAATTCTTAAATGGTTCTATATATAATAAGTTGCTTCATTTTCTTGTAGGATATATATGTGATACCGCCCGGTGGGGTTCAGCATGTCATGAAGGTTGCCGGGTCGAGATTTCGCGCTTTCAGGACATATTTACGACGACATTATTTGATGGAAGGTGGGGATCATTACGGTGAGACTCCCTTTCGTCTTTACAACTTCATAAAGCCAGAGCGTTGGGAGGAGTTTTAGACCCAGAACGAGACCGAGGAAGCTAAGGTAAAACACAATTACGTTCTTTGAATGAAATTAACTGATATTTTAATTTATTTTAAACAATTGTTTTAGGCTATGAGCGAAAAGAACAGGGATATACAGAAGAAGAATCCTTATCCGCACTTTATGGGCCGGGATGGATATGCCATGCTTCAGCGTGAGTTGGTTGCTTCTCAGGCCACCACTTCTGCCGATATCGCTGGTTCGTCTACCGAGACGGGTTCTCAGCTCGGACGGGAAGACTCTTGGTTGCGAGGTCACACCCCGGGCAGGCAGCTGGAAGTTACAGACCCTCCACTGATGGAGATTCGTGATAGGATAGTAAGCATATAATCTACAATTACGTCAATATTTTTGTTTATTACTTGTTTATTATTTGCTTACAATTTTTTTACTTCTTTTTTTTCTTAGCTGTAGGTCCAGCTGAAAAAAGAGGTCGTAGCCGTTACCTTTGTGCCAGATGGGCACAATGTTGTACTGACTAGAGCTTTAGGGACTGCTGAGCACCCGGGGCGGACGAGGGGTGTTGGGTCATATTCGGGCTTATGTAAAGTTTTCAAAGGCAACATGAAGCCTCGTAAGCCCGAAGGTAACTATATGACTGAGAAGGATCTTTTGCAACGTCTTCCCTCCCTTTTGCAGCAATATGGACTATCAGTGTCTGAGGGTTGCTCCAGACTTTGCATCCATGTCGCAGCACACACCTTCTGTTGCACCTCATTATGGGCAGCGTAGTAGCAAGGCGCCTACAGATTTCGTTGACTTCACCGATCTCACTGATGTACATATATTTTTTAATTTAGGTTTCCTGTTCGGTTTATGTTTACATGTTTCCGACATTAGTTAACTAATTTTTTTGTAGGTTGCTTCGTTTTACTTGAGGATCTCTGATCCAGCCGATTATATAGTGGCACATGGATCGATTTTCCCACGTGTACTGGGAGATGTGGTGCACGGTGTTCCTATATCCCCTCCTTCCCCACCAGGTTAAGGTCTCTATGACCCTTGTGTTTCTTGGAATGGGTGAATATAGCATTCTTTGTCCGACTGAGCATGTAGAGACTGTGGCCGATTGCGAGGGGAGCTTCGTTGCATGGCCAAAGTCGTTGGTGGGCCTTGGAGATGTAAGAAGTAAATGAATTTAGTAATTTTTTTATTCAAAATCATTTGGGCTGTGTTTCACATATCTTTTTTTTGAAAATATTTGTAGCCCCCGTACACACGGCTCGACATGGTGACTTCTCATCAAGCAAATCTTTTCCTATTCTCGGCATATGCCCCACTGCTCCTCCTAGCTCTCCCGTACAGGATGTTGTTGACCGGAGCTCATACGTCTCTTTCGGGCCGAGGTGTAGAGAGTTGTGTCAGTGGATGACACGCACATCTTCTTTGCCTACCATCAGAGTCATTCTCGATCCCGAGAGCATGCTCATCTGCAGGAGACGGAGCTGAGCATGTGTTCGGAGAATATACGTGAGTTCATGCGATGGGAGGAGGTCGATTAGACCATCATCATTGTTTTCTTGAGGTATATCAAGAACTACGTACGAATAAATTACTATTGTAAATTATAACTATTTATTATAATTGTAGTTATTATTTACTAGTGAAATTACTAGATTGTTGCACGATCATATGATGGAGCACGGCATCACGACTGTCGGGTTGTTATGTCCGGAGAACATGGCGTACGTGGTAGACTTTGGAGATTGCTAGTATCTTGATAGAGCACTCGAGTCCTATCAATCGCGACCTTGGATACTTATGCCGTTGTATCTATCGAAATTGTATGTTTTCTAAACCATTTCCAATATGTATTTCAGTTTTTTATTTAAAATTAATGACTAACGCTTTTTCAATTGTAGGCATCATTGGGTGTTAGTTGTAATACGTTTGTTTGAAAACAAAGTGTATTTCCTAAACTCAATCAAGTGAACTGGAGGGCATAAGCAAATGAAAGTGAAGACTTTCGTCAACGAGTAAGTATTAAGAAATTTATTTCTTATTAATGAAATTCTTTATTTGTTAAGATATTAATTTCTTATTGATTTGTTTTTTACATGTATTAAAAGTCTTGGCGGTTACTTCGGGAACGGCACATGCCTCAGCTTAAGGTTCCACCGGATTGGATTAATGTTCCGGGAGTACCCCAACAACTAGGGGGCGTTGAGTGTGGTTATTATACCATGCGATTTTTATGGCTCATCGTCACTATGTGTGCACAATGTTCTTTACCATTATACGATGTAAGGTTATTTTAATGTGTTTTTGAAAGTAATGAAGTGTTTGTCATCATTTTCTTTTTCATAGATTATTAAACTTTATGTTCTATGTTTTTTCGTATTGCAGGTGTTTCAGTCTACTTCGCCTTATACTAGAGCCGAATTAGAAGAGGTTAGAGAGTTTTGGGCGGGGGGTTTTCTCGAACTAGTGTAAGTTTGTGTTGTAGTGTATAGTATTAAATGTATGTTAAAAGAGTGTAGTTGTTTGACTCTTTTTTGTGGTGTTAAAACTTAGTTTGTAAATGTTGATATTTTTTAAGATGTATAAGTGATGGATGCAAATGTTCACTTTTTTGGTTTAATTTGTTTTGTGGCATTTGGGTTTTGTGAATGTATTTGTGTTAGTTGTTGGTTTGTGTTAGTTGTTGTTGTTGTTGAGTCTGTATATTTTGCACAGAATTCTGTGCAAAATTGAAAATGTAGTGGATTGGGAGCAAAGAAAAAAATCCTTTTGAAAAAATTTATTTTTGCATCAGTTATTTGGTAATAACCGATGCAAATGCCTATCGTTTGCATCGGTTATTACCAAATAACCGATGCAAATGCCTCTTTCCAGAATTGGCGCCATTCTGGGAAGAGGCTTTTGCATTAATTTAACAACCGCTGCAAAAAGTAACCTGAGCATTTGCATCGCTGGCTTTTGCATCGGTTCAAAACCGATTTAAAAGGGTAAAAATAACCGATTTGAAAGGTCTTTTTTGTAGTAGTGATGTTAGTCTCATCTGCAGAAAAACACTATCTGATAAATATCTTTAAATATAAATCTAGGAAAATAATATTTGTTTACATAACGATAAACAGGTGGCCATCAGGGCACAACTCCAACAGTAATTCATTTTCAAGTAATGACTATGTATAGATTACTTTTATTAGTTGGAATACTTTTCGTTTCAAATCTTTACCACCAGTGAATAAATATCATTAAATATTTATTCTATAATTATTTCTAATTATAGAAATTAACTATGAGTATTAAAGGATATGACTTAATCTTGATAATAATTTCTTAATGAACATGATTATCTTTTTCCAAATTATGATTAATAATTTCTCAATTAATTAATCGCAATAAAAAATCACAATAATAACAACTAGTAATTAATTTATAAAGAAATATTCCTACGTAATAATTTTATCTAAAAATTACCATTAGCCTACTATGAATCACATACCTCATAAACTTAATTCCTAATAATAGTATATCTAAACATGCATTCACATAAAAGAGACATAATTAAATTGATAATTAAAATAGAAAACTTAATTTTGTGCTTGCGCAGTATCGGGAGAACCGGGCTACAACTTGCACTTAGAAAACACCAAAAAACTAAACTAAAATTTTAAAGTGAAGAAAAGAGTTCGAAACTCTTGAAAGGGAGAAAATGTGTTGAAATTCGGATGAAAACCCGAATGGAAAAAATGGGAGAGAACCGCTGTTTAATAGGGGTTGGACACAAAGTGTCCAACCCATGCTGTCCAAGGTGAAGCGTCGAGATCTAGATGCCATTCCATGTAGCCAGCCATTCAACGACTGCCACATGTCAGTCTTGTAAGTGAATCCAAGTGAAGCATCAAAGTCAAAGCACCCACCTGCAAAGCGTCCATGGGTTTGACGCTTTAGACATGTCTCCTTTTGGACTGCGTGACTTGGTTGCATTTTGGGCCTGGTTTTGCTTTCTTGTGTCCCCGAACACTACTTTCGCCCCTCCCAATATTCCCTTGATATAATTCTCATTTTGAAGCCTCTTTCTCTCATATATGAATAAGAAATTGAAAATCTAAACTAATTTATTTTAAAACCAATTTTATTCATCTAAGAACAAACCAACATATATTGTGTGCATTAACATGTAATTTTGCACTGATTTACTACTATTTTCAAGCAACGACGTTTAAAATATGTAGAATAAAATAAGAACAAAATGGACTTATCAAATTCCTCACACGTAAACGTTGATTGCCCTCAAGCAACAAATTTGAACAGTTAAAAATATGAAATTTGCTTAGTATCACAGGAAAAAGCTTTAATCGCATAGCATGAACGAAGTTCGAATAACACAATCACCAATCCAGGTAAACTAGTTTCATTTTTAGAGGTGTCTCCAATACTATAAGAAATATGAAAATCTTTTGTGAAACTAGTGTATTTATTTGAATTAATCTGATATTTCTAAAGTGTTACTAAAATAATTGTATTGCCCAAAAGTAATTTTTAAGATCGAAAAAGGTTTTGACTGCGTTCAATAAAACGAGTTTTCAAAGAGTAATTGCTAAAATACAAAGGTCTATTCTATTTATTTTTGCAAAGCTTTTCAATGACATGAATTCTCATGTCACGGAAGCATGTTTTTTAATTGAGATTGTGGATTTATTCTATTACATATGCATACTTACTCCCCCGCCTTATACGATTTGCAGGAGAAGCAGAGCTCTTTTATAGAGATAAAATTTCCAATTCGTCACTCAAGCGCAATCACAATAAATTTCATTACAGAACTTATAAGTATTTTTTATTATATATAGACCTTTATATCTTGTCAAAAATTCTGAGAAAAATCAATATTTCTAGAAGGCAATAAAAATCATTTGATCTAAAAAAAACTTTAGAAAATACTAACATATTTCAAGAAAATTAGAAGGCTATTTGAAAAAAATAGATTAAAAATAAAAGTTTGACAAAAAGTTTAAAAATTTCAAATTTTTATGGCTGACAATCTATCAATTAACTACCCAAGTTTGACTGATGACTAAGTTAAACAAAGTTTCCTGCAAGTATGCATTAAAAACAATTCCCATTTAAACATTTCAACCAGATATTTCCCCTCCTCAAACTTGAACACAACTGCGTCCCCACAGTTGGAAAAAAATGTTTAGAAGTAAGAACTTGGTTGGAATGATTGACTCATATTGAACGAAATAACACACATCAATTATTCAAACAAGTGAATTAAATAGAAATAAAACAAGCTCATAAATAAATGTTACCGGAGAAAAAATAAGAAGAATAAGATGTTCATGAAAGAGAAAAAGAGAAATCACTGCGGGGTGCAGAGGATGAGGGATCATCGCCCTCAGGAGGAAAGGGCGTCAAACCAGTGTGTACATTTGTATAGAAGCTAGAGAAGAAGTTCCGCAACTAAGCAAAGCTCTCAGTCTAGGAGGTCTGGTGGTGCTCCATAGTGGCCATAGTCCGAATGATGGTCTCCTGGTGCTCCAATATCCTTTGGCTCCATTCAGGGGTGGGCTCTTCCTGGGAAGTAGATGTTGTGGCTCGGGAGGTGGCTAGGCATCGACGAGCGGCTCTCTTAGACGAAGGCTGGAAAGATGCTCCTGTCGTGAGTGGCATAGAAGAGGAGGCAGTGTTGCTCTCGGAAGAGCTGGACCCCAACCTCCTACGAATATGAGCATTCCGCAGCATGCCCGCATCCAAGTCCTTCATCAGCATCTAGGCCTGCGGAACGGGCGGGTCATTCATGAGGGACCAGAAGAGTAGCGTAACCACAAAGCCGTAGATGATGTGCGTCCGGTTCCCAAACAACTGGCTTTATAGGAATCGAGCCAGAAAGATAGCCACGTTCGCTGGATGTCATGTGTGCAAGCTCCAAACGATGATGAGATCATCGGCATACACCCGGTTTGTGTTCAACGGACTTCCGAAGAAGGACGTTGACAACACAAAAGACGAGATCCGCCAAGTCTACTGGATCTAGAACCTTGCCAAGCCCATAGCATCAAACGACTTCAGGTCAGAAGAGTGTTGAGCCCAAAAAGTAGCCTGATTGACGTCTTCAGGCAAAATGAAGGGTGCATCATGGAACGCCTGCTCCATCGTCTCTTCCCAAGTGTAGAGACCTAGATGCACTGCTAGCTCTCTAACTGTCAGGAGATTTCCATGCCCGAAGAGGGTGAAGGCTAGAGTCGTATGAGAGTCAATGGCATGGAGATTCAGCATCCGCGAGCCATAAGATAGCTCCACCTCTAGGGAACGGAGAACAAAAACTCAATAGTCAGTGGCAGACTAGATTCGGCTCGCATGATCATGAGCCGCTCCCACCTGGTCCCATGGTGTAACTTCTCCATGTCCTATGCATACCCATAGTCAGATAAGACTACCGGCTAGAGGTACACGGACTCCGTCAGTGTGCGGTGGCGCCCCCATGTTTCGAACCACTCAATGGGTCTGGAGCCAACTAAATGAACATTAGCATGTGCGATAGTCAGGAACTCTGGTCGGTGAGACAAGCCTCCGTTTTTCATCCATCATAAAATAACAAAGTAAAATGAAAATAGAAGAATAAAAGAAAGATAACGGGTTGCCTCCCGTTCAGTGCTTCTTTAACATCACTAGCTTGACGCAATTCATTACTCAGTTTACGAGTTTGATATCCACCTTGTCCTTCTGGTACTATTCTTCGTAGTACCATTTCACCTGTTGACCGTTTACTTTAAATGTCCCTGATTCTTCTTTTATTTCTAGCGTCCCATGAGGAAAGACTCTTGGAACAGTGTATGGTCCTATCCAACTTGAGCGAAGCTTACCCGGGTATAACCTCAACTGGGAGTTATATAGTAGCACCCTGTCTCCTTCCTGGAAAACTCTGGACTTCTTGATATGGGCATCATGGTAGAGTTTTATTCTCTCCTTGAAAAGTTTAGTATTATGAAATGCTAATGCTCTCCACTCTACTAGCTCGTCAAGCTGGTAAAACCTTTCCCTTCCAGCTTTAGATGTATCTAGGTAGACGTTTTTTAAGGCCTATAATGCCTTGTGCTCAACTTGGACTAGGAGATTGCATGACTTTCCATATATCAAATGGAACGGTGTTGTTCCAAGAGGTGTGTTATTGTAACACCCTAATCCGTCCAGGTCTGCAGCCCCTTTGGGACTAAAGTATTTAACTTGGTAATCGTAAAAATTTAAAACTTTTCAAACACTTTTATTTATCATAATAATATTTTTCATAACACATACAATACGGAGTATTCAACAATATTTCGGAAGCGAATTTAATTTTGACATATCATAAATCATTTCAAACTTGTCACATCCATCCCGACAATCTCGCCCCATCTGCCGCCAGGATCACATTAATCTTTCTATTTACCTGCGTGTAGCAAATAAAACACACTACACGCTCAGCGGTAAAGCTGAGTAAGCATATCTAATGCGTCGAACATCCATATAAACTGAATCTAAATTCATAATCAAATC